TTCTGGTTTCTTGGCAACAGGCTCGGGGTCAAAGAGTTGAGACAGGGTGTCTGGTTTGACGTTGCGAGACCCCGGCCTGTAAGAGAGGGAAAAAGTAAAACGGTTAAAAAAAAGAGCCCACCTGGCCTGGCGAGAATTAAGTCTCTTGGCCTTTCTGATATATTCAAGGTTTTTGTGATCAGTCCAGACTATAAATGGATGGTTAGCCCCCTCAAGCCAATGTCTCCACTCCTCCAGAGCGACCTTGACCGCCAGCAGTTCCCGGCTGCCGACATCATAGTTCCGCTCAGCTTTGGACAGCCGTCGTGACAAGAAGGCACAGGGATGCATCTTACCATCCTGCTCCGACCGTTGAGAGAGAACTGCCCCGATCCCTTCGTTGGAGGCGTCTACTTCGACCACAAACTGTCGCTGGGTGTCTGGCATGGTGAGGATGGGAGCCGAGGTAAAGCGACGCTTGAGGGTCTGGAAGGCTGTCTCCGCCTCTGGAGACCAGTGGAACCACACCTGAGAGGAAGTAAGAGCATGGAGAGGGGCAGCTTTTGCGCTAAAGCCCTTGATAAACCACCTGTAAAAGTTAGCGAGACCGAGAAACTGCTGAACCTTCTTGCGGCTATCAGGTGTGGGCCACTCGACTACAGCGCTAATTTTAGCCGGGTCCATCTGCACTCTTCCAGGGGCTACAATGAAGCCCAGGAAGGAGACGGTGTCGGCATGGAACTCACTCTTTTCCGCTTTGACGTAGAGATTATTTTCCAACTATCTTTTAAGTACTCTGGTTACATGGTCTTGGTGTGAGTCAAGGTCAGGGGAGTAAATGAGAATATCATCAATGTAAACATAAACAAAATGGTCGAGAAAATCCCTGAGTACCTCATTAATCATAGCTTGGAACACAGCAGGCGCATTGGTTAACCCGAACAGCATGACCAGGTACTCGTAATGACCATTTGGTGTGTTAAAACCTGTTTTCCACTCGTCACCCTCTCTTATTCAGACCAAATGGTAAGCATTGCGAAGGTCTAGCTTTGTGAACACTTTGGCCTGCTGGAGCTGGTCAAACACAGAAGACATGAGAGGAAGTGGGTAACGGTTTTTAATTGTAATGTCATTAAGAGGACTGTAGTCTATTCAAGGTCTAAGGGAACCATCCTTCTTGCCCACAAAGAAGAAGCCGGTCCCTGCTGGAGATGATGAAGGGCGGATCAACCCTGCCTTCAGTGAGGTCGATGTACTCCTGCATGGCCACCCTCTCTGGCCCAGAGACCGAGTACAGACGGCCCTTGGGTATGGTGGAGCCTGGAATCAGTTCAATTGCACAGTCATATGGCCGATGTGGAGGGAGTGACATGGCCTTGTTTTTACTAAATACCTCCCGAAGGCGGTGGTAGCAGGAAGGCACGGAGCTCAGGTCCGGGTACTCGGAGTCTGTGGCAGGATTAGCAGAGGCAAGGTTAGCCACAGTAACATCTTCCCTGAGTCGAGATGTCAAAGCAGTCTCCAATACAGTCCTCCCCCCACCCCATAATTTCCCCAGTTCTCCAGTTTACATGAGGGTTGTGGTGAAACAGCCATGGCAGTCCCAGAAGCAGTGTATGAGAAGGAGACTTGAATAAATAAAAACATATGTGTTCTCTATGTTGGTTTATGTGCAATTTGAGGGGTTCAGAGATGTGTGTGATGGTGAACAGTTCTTTACCGTTGAGAGCTTTGGCCTTGATTGGCTTAACTAAGAGTTCGGATTTGAGTCCCAGTTCCTCAGCTAAACCCCAGTCCATCAAACTCTCATCAGCCCCTGAGTCAATAAGCGCATCAAGATCTGTGGCGGTGTGGTGCATTACCTTGACTGTGGTGAGGGTACGTAAAACAGAGCTTGAAGCAGTGAACTGACTCACCACTGTGGATCTCTTGGCTGAGCAGACGGCGACAAGATGACCTAATTCACCGCAATAAAAGCACCGGCCCTCCTGCTGTCGTCTCCGTCGCTCCTCAGGAGTCAGCCGAGCCCTTCCCAGCTGCATGGGCTCCTCCTCTCCCTCCGCGGGGAAATGACGACGCTGCTCCAGCGGTGGACGGCGGGGAGCTGGCCAGTCCGGTGCTTGGGTGCGCGTGGGTCTCTCTGAAGATCGGCCGCCACGTTGCTGTCTGAGTTGGCGGACCCTATTGTCCGTCCGGATGGCAAGCGCGATGAGGGAGTCTAAATCTGGGGGTAGATCCAAAGGCACGAGAAGATCTTGAATGGAGGCTGCCAGCCCCTTCAGGAACACATCATACAGGGCGGTAGAGTTCCACCCGCTCTCCGCAGCCAAGGTGCGGAAGTGGATGGCGTAGTCACAAACAGAGTCGCTGCCTTGCTTTAGTCTGCTCAGTTCCTGCGCCCTTTCCCGGTCAGTCGTAACTGGGTCAAAAGTCTTTTGCAAAGCTGCTTGAAAGTCTGTGAAGGAGGTGCAAAGTGGAGAGTCCCGAGCCCACTCTGCTGAGGCCCAAGCCTTGGCTCGTCCGGTCAGATGGGACATCATGAAGGCTATCCTGGACCGGTCAGTGGGGAAAGCCTGGGGAGATAGCTCATAATGCTATGAACAGTCAATGATAAAAGTCTTACATAGTCCCGGTTCCCCAGAGAATTTCTCTGGTTGGGCTAACCTACTGCCAGCCCCGATGCTGGGCACAGCCGGGGCGGAAGCAGCAACAGCTGCCGGAGACTCGGAGGCTGTGGTGGTCTGAGCAGGACGATCCTGCAGGCCCTGAATTTGAGCCGTAAGGAGACTCAACTGGTGAGCCAAAGCCGTCTGAAACTCCTCCTGACGGGAGAGACGGGCCTCTTGGGCACGCAGGTACTCTGCCAGCTGTTGATCCTCTGCTGAGTCCATACTGGCCAGAATGTACTGTCAGGCCTGGGCTAGAATGAGGACTCAGATGCAGAGTGACAATAAGGCAGCCTTTATTTAAATACTCCTACCTCGAGAGGGAGTGACAAATAAAACCAGCTATGAAAAATTATGCTATCAGGGAAAGAATCTAATAAACAAAAACCCACTCCAAATGGAGGGACAAAACTGCTGAAACAAAAAGGAATAAACCAACAGATCATCACTCCACAAGGAGGCTACAAAAACTGCTACAAACTTGACAAACCAAAAGCTCTATACTATGAGAATACAAACAAAAATCACTCACATGGAGGTTACAAAAACTACTATAAACTTGACAAACAGAAAACTCTATTCTATGAAATTACAAACAAAAAATCACTCACATGGTGGTGAAGACTAAGTATAATAAGGCAAAGACAAGGCAAGGCATGGACTGTGATAGTAGGCTGGGGTGCACGACAGGAACGAGACACTCTGGCACAGGACAAAGGGAGATGCAGACTATAAGACACATGAGGGCAAATGGGAAACAGGTGGACACAATCAGGAATCAGGGAAGACACTCAGACAGGTGACACATGAGGAAGGGAAAGTGACCTGAAACGAGAGGAGAGTTAACCTTTCAAAATAAAACAGGAAATGACAAGACATGGAGACAGGAAAAACCCCAACTTGACCTCACCGCGTGACAGCAGGTGCCATCACTCTCCTCAACAACCCATCCTAGTCACCCAATTGCACCCCCACACCCCCATCTGTGCAATATAACTGAACTCAAAACAGCAACACTTAACCGTGCAATAATATACAGTGTATTTGTATTGTATTTCTTAACTTAAAATTTTATGTTGTTTTAATTGACTGTTTTATGCTTGTTCCTGCCCTCTTGCCCTTATATCACCAAGTCAAATTCCTGTGTACTGTGTACATTTGGCGAATAAAGCGATTCTGATTCTGATTCTGATTGTGATAACTACTGTCTGTGATGTAGCATATACAGATTTATTTCTCAGCACCTGTCACAGATCTTTAGATTCACTCAATCAAACTAAAATAGAAAACTATACTCCTTTATTAAAAATATGTCTGATCCGGCCCTGACAGTCTTCTGCAGACACGTCCACATGTCCAGCATCACTGTGTCCAAGAGTTGGAGTTTATACAGTTTTACTTCTTTTTATATGTATATGCAGCAAAAAAAACTACAGTGATTTAGTTTGAACCATAAATGTACCGGTGTTGACACAACTACGTGACCATGTGTAAAATATAAAGTATATAAAATATAAACACACAGAGGTTTTGATGGTGGCTGTTGACCTGACTGTGTGAAGAGCTTTGAAGTGAGCTCAGTGTCAGCAGCTGTAAAAACCACTGTCTGGTCAGTAAAACAGTTCAGGAGCTCAGATTAGTAACTCATCAAATGACAATGATGCAGGTTATTCAGTTTAAGCGAATTAATCTGATTTCTCCAAACTTTGTAAAATAGCTCCTTTATTGATAATCTGGTTTGGAGTTATCGTCTCCACTGTGACCCTGTGCTTTGGCTGTTATGATATCATATTGTTATGAAAACATTGTGATAAAGGAGCAGCTGTTCCCAGAGTGGTTCAGGAGAACTGAGCTAATGTCAGCTTGTCCAGGCTGAACATTATATTATACAGCTGCTAAACTTCCTGTGCCAATATCACAGACATACACATGTCCTGTCTGTCTGTCTACCTGTCTGACTGACTGTCTACCTGTCTGACTGATGGTCTGTCTGTCTGACTGTCTGTTTGTCTGTCTGTCCAACTGTCTGACTGTGTGTCGGTGCGTCGGTTTGTCTGTCTGTCTGTCAGTGTGTCGGGCTGTCTGTCTGACTGTTTGTCGGTGTGTCAGTGTGTCTATCTGTCGGTGTGTCGGTCTGTCTGTCTGTCTAACTCTCTGTCTGCCTGTCTGTCTGTCTGTCTGTCTGTCTGTCTGTCTGTCTGTCTGTCTGTCTGTCTGTCGGTCTATCAAACTCTCTGTCTGTCTTTCCAACTGTCTGTCTGTCTGTCTGTCAGTCGATCTGTCTGTCTGTCTGTCTGTTGGTCCTTGTATGTTCTTGTCTATCACATTACTCCATCTTGTCCTGCCCACCTCCAGGGTGGCATGATTGACAGGATCGAGAGTAACATGGACCAGTCAGTAGGATTTGTAGAGAGGGCGGTGGCTGACACCAAGAAAGCAGCCAAATACCAGCAGGAGGCACGCAGGGTAAGTTGATTCAACAGCAACATGGATGTAATGACCTGCTGAAACATTGTTAAAGGTCCATACAGTCTGAAGATAAAGTCCATGTGTTGTTTATTATAAAGCAGGTCTAGGTTCAATGTTAACACTGTGAAAGTTTCAAAGCGCTCAGTGCACAGAGAAATGCACGCATCTTGTATTCAGAAACTGAGCCTTAAAACCAGCCGTCAGGACTTCTGGAACTTTGTGATGTCACAACAAAGCAGTCATCAAGCCCCACCCACCTGGACCCACCATCCAACCTTGCAGGATTTAGTTTCTCTGACTGTTTACCTGAAATCTGCTATATTTTTCACTCAGAAAACAGTCAGCCAATCAGAAGATAGGCTCAGAGCCTGACAGTACAATCAGTGTTTTGTTGCATTAGTGCATTTTGAGATGTGACATTAACTTTTGTACTGTGTTGGTAAAGTGTTTTGAAAAAGTCATGTAATAATAATAATAATTATAGCCGCAAGCGGCAATTCGCAGGTTCTAACCGTTTTGCGCTCAATTGCAGTGAAATTGTAGTTAATTAATGCTTTGGTAGACCTACTCACTATAAGAAACTAAGGATCTCTATCAAGTTTTATGATGATTGAACAAATGTCGCCCTTTACAAAGACATCTTGCTCATTTGTAAAAGAAATGTACCTCTCAGTCACCCAAGGCTGCATACCAAATCTGGTATTGATAAAGTAAAAATTCGGAACATTCTATTCATGTTACTGTTTTTAATGTTATGCTAATTAGCTCCATATCCATAATGGTAGTCGCTATTATCACAGAGGCTTTTTATAGAGACTATTGAGCTGCGAGGTACATTTGAAGACAATAGGACTCTCAGTGTGGCGAGTGCAACCTTTCAAATATTGTACAATTTCAACACTTAATTATACCGCCACCATATGGCTGAATGGGATATTTTTCATCAATCAATATGGCACTTCAGATTTTCGTTAATACTCACCTTCAGAACATGTGTACCAATTTTGGTAAAAATCTGTTCACCAGATTTTTAGGTACGTATTTTTGGCATTTATGGCGCCCTCTAGAGGTCAGGATCAGGTAAGCCTGTTCCCTGTTGTGGAACAAAGATATGGACCATGTTTCATAATGATTGGACTAATGGTTAATGAGTTATGGCCAATATTAAGTAAGCCCCACCTTTTGCAAAGATATTTTAATTGATGGCGGCTATATTTTATCACTGATCTTGCTCATTTATAATAGAAATTTGTATATTCATCTCCCAATGTTGTGTACTACAATTTGGGTTAGGGTTTATAATCTCAAAATTCATAAAGTTCTTTTCATTTTACTGTTTTTCAAATTATCCAAATTTGCAAAAAATGTATCCAGGTGCACTTTAATGGTCCAGGGGCTTTTTTGTAGAGCACATTGAGCTGGACTTCAAATTTCAAGTCAATCAGACAGTGTGAGGGGCGTGGCCTTTTGAAAATTACTTTTTTGAGCCATAGTTACAGAGCCACCATGTGGCCATTTGCATTCATACTTCTTCCAATGCATTCCTAATGCATTATTATTCCCAGTATTTTGGGAATAACTTTGGGAAAAATTGGAATTTTAACACCAAAAGTCATAGCACCTCTTTCGGGATCAAGACGCACGTTTTGATGTATATATTACTGGGGTTTTCTCAAAGCTGCAGGACGAGTTATGCGCCAAAATTTGGCGGAAGAATAATAATAAGTCTGAGGAATATTAATAGATGCTCCGCCCCGAGGCACTCCTCTCAGCTATTCTAGCTGTAGAGGAGTGCCTCGGAGCTGAGCACCCGTGGCACTAATAAACCTGAGCCGCAGCAGAAGACAATCCCTTCGGGGTTAGAACCCTAATAACAGCTGTATTACTCTGAAGTTGGTGGTTTAGACACTTCTGTGGTTCACTCTTACAGGGTGGAGAAATACAGGACCGGGTCTTGAACCATTTACATCTGGTCTTGCCCCCCTCCTAAATTCAAATTCGGTTGTGCTGCTCTGTCTAGGATTTGTTTGGACTGATGTTAAGAGCAAAGTTGTGGGGGGGGTTGTCATCTAACACCATCTTCCTGTCTGTGTCTGCATCCAGAAACAAATGATGATCTTCTGCTGCTGTGTGATTTTGGCCCTGGTCCTTGGGTCATTTGTCTACAGCTTCATCAAATAGAGATGCTGCAGGAGGCCGCCCACCAGCTGAGTCCACAGTAGAGGATGAGTCAGAGCCTGGGCTCAGTTCACTGTCAGTACAACTCATTTACAGTAGAAATAGAGGTTCCACATGTTTGCATTCAGACTCAGTTATTGCTGTACCTTTATCAGGGTGCTCCACATTAATATTCAGTCTCAGTGCTGTCTGTGGCTAATTAGTTATGTCAAAATGGAACTGAGCTTTCAAGCAGTGGTTCCCAACCTGTGGGTCAGGGCTGCAAAGGTATTGCAAGTGGGGCGACAAATTGTTTGAAAGTAATTATCTTTCAAAAATATGTTGAAAAACTTAAAGCCAATGATAGGAACTCTTATGTTGTTGTCTGCCAGACCATATCGTATACTTGTTTGTATCTGGGTCTGATGCAATCCTGAAAGTTATCATTAAAATAAAAAGTGCTCTGAGAACATATTATTTGGCTACTGTATTGTTATGGGGTCAGATAAGGGCCACCAACATTGTTGAGATTTTTAAGTGGGCCAAGAGTTGGAAAAGGTTGGAAACACTGCTTTAGAGAATTTCCACAAACCATGCTGCTGAATGGTCTTAGAAGAGATTTATTCGCCTCATACAGTCAGCATTCATGGAAAGCTGCAGAACTCATATGATGGGTCATATGATGTTAGCAGGAAATAAAAGTATTAGAGACACTTTTAAATGTGGTGCAAATACACTGTGTCAGAATGACTGCAGGGGAACCGACAGACTAGTCCCAACAAAAACCTTGAACATTATAGGCTTCAGAAATGTGAGATGTACAGTAGAGCTGTTGTAGTGGATTGGTTAGGTCAGTTAGCTGCTGAAGTGAAAAATCAGTGTGTCTCCTTTAGAAACTGGTCAGAGAAAATGCTCCACAACCAACAGGCGTCATTTGAATGAGAAACACGTCTTTCGTCTGTGGCTCTGACCTCATTATGATTACTGCTGCAGTGTTTATGAACCTGAGAGGTGTTAGGTGCAGGATCTGTCGTTAACGCTGGTGCACATGTGTAGGACTTTTCAGGAGTGTTGATTTTAGCCAAATAGTTTAGTTGATGAGCTAAATCTGCAGAGGGAAAAAAGAGAGAAACTGAACCAGATGGTGGCAGTAGATGAAAGGTGACAGGGTCTATTGGCAGTTTGTTGTTTGCCAGCAGGATGTCTTGTTTGTTTTTATTTACCCCTTTTACATATGAAAAACTGTCCTCATGTGTAGGCTCTGTTTGTATCCCAGTCTCCATTTCACTTCCAACACTGTTGAAGCTGAAAGAATTCCGCAGGTGAACTTGTATCTCACATGATTCAAGTGGTGAAGGATCTGTTCTCACATTAGGAAGGTTGTTAAATCCAAGAAACAAGTGAAATGTGTTGTCAGTGAGTCCAGAGTGAATAGCAATGGCTGTTGGCATGTGAGTGAACTGAAAGCTCAACCCTTTAGCGGGAGTATGTCACAATGTCTGTCATCATGATGCATCTTTATGAAGTCAGTATCGTAAGTATTGAGACAGCTGTCATTATGTTTTTGTACTTGTGTCTATTTGTGTTGTGATGTCCTACTGTGCCAATACTTATGCTATCGACTGCATCTAACGATACAATTCATATCATGTTGTGGATAAGCACATGCTGTGACTGCTGTGTCAAATCATGTTTCAATTTAATGAAAGGAGGAAGCCACTTTCCTTCAAGAATCACAGATTGGGATGTTGAACTGATTAACAAATTATTGATAGCAGATCCTGTATGACCTGAGAATAGAAGTAAATTCTGTAGGTGTCATGTAAGAAAAATGGAAATAAACACATCCCTGCTTTATTTGATTACACTGACTACACTGCCTTGGAGGTGTTTTACTGCTTCAGGTCTTAATTACTTGTGTATTTATTACAACAATCGCTTTCATTTTTAATATTTTTTTTAAAGGACTACAGCTGTATTTCCAAAGAGGCCCCTCTTGTTTCATGCCATGGCTTGACTTTGGTTGGTCTTTGACATTTGCATCCTTCCTCTCACATGCAGGCAGCTACACTGACACCTCAGCTCACTCTTGCAGTGACAGACCACTCTTGTAATCCAGATTCACATTTTATCTTCTGCAGTTTTAGCCTCAGTGTCCACAGGTTTGAAATGAGCATCAGTCTACCACTCAGTGTTGGCAGCATTTAAATGGATAAAATGTGTGTCCCAAAAATAAGATAACGTAATATCTTTCCACCTACAACCTGGGTTGCTGGATCAGCAGTGGGTGTCCACATGACAGTAGCAGGAGGACTGCACTGCCAGCTCTCCCTCTTAGAATGATTCAAACACTCGGCCTGAAATGTGCATTGACGAGGACATGTTGTAAATTGGGTGGGACAACTGGTCAACCATGGTTCAATCAGAGAGGCCACTTGTTAGTTTGTGTGACACTTGGTGGAAATTACATGTAGAGTGACTGTGTGTGTCCTTCTCTTCCTGCTTACATTCAAGGCCAGTCACTTTGTAGCAGTTTATAAGGGAATGTATTCCGTTGTAAAATAACGTCTTTTGTAGCTCTGTCCCACTGACGGAAAATAAAAAATCAGTCTGTCATATGTTTTTGCTTATGAGTGTTCATTTATATTCTGTTTCGTTCCGTAAAGCGCGTCAGTTTGGCGTGTGCCTCTGGCTCGCCGTACTCGAGCCGTGCGTGTTTGAAAGACAAGTCGCGGCCACCAATCACAGGAGCCCTGCAACATTTTCCAGCCAATCCACGACCGTTTGTTCTAAGCGCACTTCCATTTAAGGCCCTGCAGGCACTTCCTCATTGAAGTGAAGGCAACAAAACGTGTCCCTGCGATGTGAGCCATTAGCTGGGGGAACACAGCTCGCAGAGGACGTCATACGTCTCGGATCAGTGGCGGTGGCTGGAAGCTGACGCACCTTTGTGAATATGGGGGTAAGGACTGTGAAACGAGTTATTTTTAATGCAACCCTGGTTATTTCTGAGTGATGACTAGTGATATTGGGTAATGGGGGTGGTGGTTACCGTGTTTATGTCATTGCGTGATTGGCTACTTCTCTTGCATGACGCGTGTATCTCATCTAAGTAACGGCTTTTGGACATATTAGCCAATAAGGTTTATGTTCGTTTTCAAATTGTGCTGTTATTGGTAGCTTGCCAGCTCCTATGCAGTCATATTGGCTACTTTTGTCCAATCGCAGTTCACAAATCTTCCACGTGAGTGACACTGCTCTAGTCCAATGAACGCGTCGCTGGCGTATCTGTGATTGGTCCAATGTACGTTTGTGGGCGGGACATAGTGATGTTTTGTGATGGGATGGAAAATGGCGGCTGTTCGGAGACCGCATTAACTTTATACTGTTCTAGTGATATGAGCAGCAACAATGTACGCCCTTTTCTCGCAGATTATGAGAAATATCTGAACGTGGGTCTCCTAACACGACTTCAGGTCACGATGGGTTTGATGTCGTTGTGAGCAGGACGCTTTTCATAAAGCTAACATTAGCTGTACACGAATTGGAATAGAAAGCTAGGGACAAAGCTCGAGTGTTCAGAGATGTGATATGATAATTGTGTGTAATTGTTCACTTTAAGTCATTTTAGGGCTGTAGCTAGCTAGCCTCTTTAAATAAGCCGTACATGAAGCCTTTCACATTCCGTTGGTTCCTAAAACGTGTGTCAACAGTGAGTGAGTGTGAAGAACGGTTAGACCAGGAGCGATTAACGTTAACCTAGATGACGTTGAGAGCTCTATAAAGACATCAGAGAGCGAGTTGTCGTCTCGGGTAATGTTGGCCAAACAGTGGTATCAGAAGTTAGTCACTGTTGGAGGTTGAGTTCATTCGGCTCACTAGGAAAGCCGTGAACACACGCCTTCCTGCTGCTTGTTTACTATCCAGAGGAGCCATGTGGCGGCCGGGTATAGCTTAGTTTTCAGATGGGTCCACGGCAATAACCTGCGTCGTCGTTAAATACCCGCGTTCGGTTGGACGAAGCTCGGTTTCCCGGTGACAATGGATGAATCCAAGCCACGGTACAGCAAAAGACTGGTAAGTTTAAATTTAATTTTCCCGCGTTGGTTCTCATTTGACTATCAGCATGGTTCTCTGAAATTAAGTCACCAAACGAGACAATGTTTGTTTTTTTTTTTGTTTTTTTTTTTTTTGTTTTTTTTTAAAGGATGCTGTGTGTTTACTTGCATGTATTGTAGAGTGTGTGGGGTTTTAGTTTTTTTTCTTTTGTTTGTTTTTTAGTAACCATGGCAACATATAAAAACAGTCACATGGTCGGGTGTAACCAACAAAGTTCAGCCTCTGGCTAGTGTCTGTGGTAGAACCTAACTTTAAAATAGCTCCCACCATGTAGACATTATGTTAGTTTAAATTAAAATAAGATGTGTTGAGATGGCGTTTGAAATGAGAATCCTGCTGTATTGACTTAATAAAGAGGATTATAAACTGAAAAGTATAACTATAAAAGTTATTATTATTATCATCTGAGGGGGAGTAAATCAAGTGTGAGATGTGATTTTAATTTTATCGTTACATGACGAATCAAGATAAATAAACCATCCTGACTTATAACATAAATTTGCAGATACATTGGTGTGAGTATACATCGACCAAAAAATGGCAAGTACAGAAATACCAAAGATAAAGAAACAGTTAGTCCACCAGAAAGTAGAGTTTATTTTTAGGCTATAAAATGCCCTGCCCATTACATCTTTTGTCACAATTATTTTTAAAAGAAAACACATTTATTGGCCTCAAAAATCCTGTATTGGTTGGGTTATACAGTGACAAGACAAAGAATCAGAATCTGGTTTATTGCAAAGAAGGTTTTCAACATACAAGGAATTTGCTTTATTGTTTTGGTGCACATCAATTGACATAGTAAGAAAAAAAAAAAAAATATATATATATATATATATACCAAGAGGAAACAAGCAAGTACTGAAGTTCAGATATCTTAGATATAAATAGAAAATTTAACAATAAGAGAATATTTGCAATAAAATGTGAAAAAAATATTGATATATGATGATTTTATAGCATTTTCTTTGTGTGTCCTTTTTTTGCACGCGAGGAACCCCAGAGGGTACAAAATGTGTTACCAGTGTATAATAGACCTGTAACAGTAACTGACATTAGATTTTAAAAATATGTAAAAAAAGACACTTTCTTGCAGAAATCCATACCTTCAGCTGTGACACAGCCAAAATGATCAGCAAATCAAAAAAGAAAAGTGAAGAAAATGTCCAAAAAAGGACAGAGGGACCCCTGAGGGTTAATAAATCCCATGAACCGCTATTTAAATTACCACTATTATGTTTTTTTCGGTGCTAAATTTAACATTACTGGGGAGGAGAGCAACGCGACTAGAAGTGACAGCGAGAGAGGGCTAGTAGCTTCTCCTCTCCTCTGTCTCAGCGGAGACCGTCACAACTTCATTCACTCATTTAACAAAACAAAAAGAAAAGCAACAAAGGAAGCAGTAAATGGACTTACATATTTAAGACCTAACTAAATGTAATTTAAGACCTAACGTGGCTAATGTAAAGCTAGCGGAGCTTGGAGATTTGGTTATCTGGTTGCTAGGCACGCACACACGCACACAGGTCAGGAGCTGCCGTTGCCATGGCAATGTGAAAATCTGCCCAGAATTTGGCTTCTACATGGCTTAAAACAATTGCAAATTACAAGAAGACCTTTACCGAAAACACCATGACAGACACTGAAACCAGAAGTTTCTTACAGTTTCTATTTTATTCAGATATTCCTTAAAATGAGTAAGTAAGCTCAGTGCGAAGACAGAGTGAGATTCTTTTGGGGAAAAAAAAAAAAAAAGACGATTACATTAGGAGTCAATGAGAGTGAGACAGGTATTGCTGCCGGACTCGGCACCCCCGTTTAAATTTTGTGTAGACCCTGCCTGTCAAAGTTACATTTTATGAATCCCAACAACTATGTCTACATTTTGAAAGAATTATTTGTCTCCTTTTTACGGTTTGGCCGTGAGCTCAAGTTAAAAATAAAAATAAAGGTTATTTTTTACTGCTTCACGCACTCTAGCCAACTGACGCTGTCACTCTAACTTTGAAGAAAAAGTGATTTCCACTCCTCCTTTGAGTGCTCATAGTTTGAAAAGTTTACATGTTATGTAAAAACAGTTGTTGTGTTTTGGAGAGAGCAGAAGTTTTCCTCCGTTTTATAGTTTGAATCACATTTCTACGTGCAGGTATGAGAGAGCTGGGTGACTCAGAAAAAAAGGTGAAATTTTTTAGAAAAAAGGTGAAATTTTGTGGGTTTTTAAAGAAAATTCCAATGCATTCCTAATGCATTATTTATTCCCAGTATTTTGGGAATAACTTTGGGAAAAATTGGAATTTTAACACCAAAAGTAATAGCACCTCTTTCGGGATCAAGACGCACGTTTTGATGTATATATTACCGGGGTTTTCTCAAAGCTGCAGGACAAGTTACGCGCCACAATTTGGCGCAAGAATAATAATAATAAGCCCGAAGGAATATTAATAGATGCCTCGAGGCACTCCTCTCAGCTATTCTAGCTGTAGAGGAGTGCCTCGGAGATGAACACCCGTGGCACTAATAATATACACTGTTCAAAATAACTGGGGAGGTAAGAGTATGTGAACCCTTTGGAATGACCTGGTTTTCTGCACTTAGTTGTCATAAAATGTGATCTGATAGGCATCTAAGTCACAAATGTAGACAAACACAATGCCCATAAACTAATATAACACAAACAATTATAATAATTTGTGTTTTTATTGAACACATCCATTAAGCATCCACAGTGCTTGTGGAAAAAGTAAGTGAACCCTTGGATTTAATAACTGGTTGAACCTCATTTGGCCCCAATAACCTGAAACTAGCTCTGCCAGTAGCTGCTGATCAGTGTTCAGGAGGAAATTTGACTGTTCTTCTTCTTTTAAAGAAATTCTTCAGCTCAGATAGATTCTCAGGATGTCTGGTTTGCACATTTCTGTTCAGCTCAGTCCACAGCATCTCTACTGGAGACAGGTCGGGGTCTGACTGGACAACTCCAGACGGTGGATTTTCTTTGTCTGAAGCCATTCTGCTGTAGATTTACTCTGATGTTCAGGGTCATTTTCCTGCATCACTCAGCTTCTCCTTAGCTTTAGCAGGTGACAGACACACTTATTAGGAAGAGACCCTGATAAACTTGAGACTTCAGTTTCACCTTGATGTTGTGGAGCTGTCCAGAGGCAGAAAAACAGCCCCACATCATGATGCTCGCTTCACCTGTGGGATGATGATGATGTTGGGGTGTAGTGTGCAGTGCCCTTTGCACCACACATTGAGCTGCAGGTTTTTCCCAAACAAGTCAACCTTAGTTTCATCAGTCCATAAAACATTTTCCCAGCAGCACTGTGGAGTGTGTAGGTGCTCTTTATAAACTTGGTAGGACACCATGATCCATACAACCATGATGTGTGTGTCTGTGGTGGACTCATGAACAGAGATGTGAACCAGCTTGAATGATTCCGTGAAGCCTTCAGCTGTGGCTCTGAGCTTTTTTTTTAACGTTACTGCTCATCTGTGTTGAGCTGTTGGAGTCGTCTCAGCTGGACTTCACGTCTATGGAGAGGAACCGCAGACAGTCCTCTCTCTTTGTTTGTCTGACTGTGGACTGATGACGATCTAAACTCTGACACTTTCAGCTTCATGCTCATCATCAATTCTTCATCACTCGTTTTCTGAGATCTTTTTTGTGAGGCATGGTTCACATCAGCTGGTGGTTATTGTGAAGACTAAAAAAATATTAGTGTCTTTACAAGTCAGAGTCTCTAACCCAAACCTCCAATCTCGTTTCAGTGACTGGACTCCAAGTTTGATGACTCCTGACTCCAGTTCACTTTATTTAATGCCATGAGCCGAGGGGTTCACACACTTTTTCCAACCTACACTGTGATAGTTCAAATTATATTTTCAATATGCACAAGAACAAAACAATGATTTGTTTGTGATTAGTTAAAATAGATTTTGTTTGTTAATAGTTAGTAGTAGACTTGGTTGAAGGTCATCTGACCATATTTAAGGACAAATTTATACACACAAGGAGGTTATTCCAAAGGGTTCTTACTTTTTCTTGCCACTGCAGATGTTTCCCATATAAGTGCCATGTGAATACAAGCAGAGATGGACCTGTTCACACTCAGTATTAACATGTCTCCAGTGACCACTTCAGATGTGTGTTTTTCATAATAAAATTGTCATTTTTAAAAGTTTCACCAAGTGCTGCAAAGATTCAGAATCAGCCACAACCTCATCTAATAATACGTGTCACTCAGTAAAGACTCAGCACAGTATAATGGAAGTTAATAGTGCATAAAACAAACAAACAAAAAATACGGACCTCAAATTTTTTTCTTGGATAAAAATACTTTTTAAACTATAATAAAGAAGAAAAAGTTCAACACAGAAAATTGTATATATTTGTTCTGGAGGTGATCTTTATCTCATGAGATTTTCTCTGGAGCAGGATTTATGAAAAATCAGCTCAGCAGCCTCTGCTGCTCTAAATATTTGACTTTCCTACTGATTATTCTGTCACTTCAATAAACTCAGAACAACTTCTGAGTTTAGTTTAAGCAGAATAAAACGTCACGTCTGTATCTGAAATGGTCCTGGAGTAATGACGATCTGTGAAATTTGGAAGTGTATACTGCCATGTGTTTTTCTGGGAGTAGGTTTAGGTGCCATGCAGTTCTGGTCCTCCCACAGTTGATCCTTTCTCTGTCACCTGTCGCTGCTATGCTTCTTTTACCCATCCACCCTTTTGTCCTCTTCCCCAGAGGGCTGGTACCCGTCGACGTTACCATGACGACGGCATCTCAGATGAGGAGATTGACGGGAGGAGGATGTTTGACCTGGAGGAAAAAGTCAACAGTCAGCGGTTCAGCTCTGACCGGGTCCTTCGCATGGAGGGAAGAGGTGGGTTAGTCAGGGAGCTGTGAGCGTTTCACATGAACAGCAGCAGTAAGACTTACACACACAGATCACATGACAGGAGTTTGAAATGTGCCACATACCATCATTCATGGCTCTCTGTGGTGTTACTGTCTGTCCAGACCACTTGCTCTAGTTTCATCCAGCAGTCAGGAATCATGAGAAAAGAAACAGCCAGCAGTGAATTGTTTGAAAACATCAAAAAATTGAATGGATGGAAAGACTGTTTGTTGTATTTCTTAGACTTCACCTACGAGTTCATCCAGAGAGGCGGGCTGACTGAGCCAATCATCTTTGAGAGGCCTGATGGACTGGGCATCAAGTAGGCATTTATTTTTCTTCTATCTACATCTACCTTACTACTGTGTTCAGGGTCAAATCGGATTATGGTTGTTGCAGCACAGCCTTGGATTTTGTTCAGACCATATCCATCATGAAGGGATCTCAAAACCAAGGCCAGGTAAATGTTCCTAATTTAGGTATCGACTGATATGGTTTTTTCAGGGCTGATTGAATTATTGGTATTAAAGGTGACTGATACCGATATTTGGAACTGATATGCCAACACAAAACTACTGCTGTATATGGACACTCACCATGTTGTCCAGGTCTTTCTATTATTTTGTCCACTCCATTTATATCAGTGAATGTAGGTAAATAACAGAAATGCCTCTGTATACTGTAACACAGCTCCACACACTACGTCCTCCATAATGATCATCAACAACTGTTGACTATTTTATTACAAACTGTTGTATTAAACTACATGAGTTTTATCTACATGTTCCTAATAAACTGAACACTGAGTGTATATTAGCAATTATCAGTTGTATGCACAGACTACAAAGAGCCTCACTGGATTTAATTGGTTGATTTCAGTGCTGTTCTCACCTGTGAACTGATTCACCTGATAACCTAAAGATGTTGTTTAATTTAATAGTTTTATCATATATTACTATTAATAACAAATAAGATGTTTTACCCCTCCCCTTTTTAAAATGTAACGGAGGATGATCTTTACGCAGATATTTTATTTTATTGGTTATCAGTTAAAAAAAACATAACAATACAGATAATCAGAAAATGCCCCATGCCCAAATGACCACTGATAATCGGTCGATCTGTACTCCTCTTCAAATCTTGTCTTTTAATATATTGTCATGCCTCTGCGTCGGCGACAGCTGAGACCTCAGAGGATTGTCATCCATCCATCCCATTCTCATGAACGTGACATCTCTGTCACTTTCAGTTCTAGCTGTTGAACTGGGCTGAAACACAGTACTGACATTTAAAAGTTGTTTGCTGCCATATTATTTTCATTACTAACATGCAATAAATTTTTATATAAAAATAAAATAAAAAGTTTCTTTGGGCATTAATATTATGTAAAAGCTTCCCAGGTGAGGTGTTTTTGTACAATTTATATATATATATATATATATATATATATTTATATTTTAAAAAAAAAAAAAAAAAAAAAAAGTCATAAATGAATTTATAAAAACATTGGAATGTAACAAAAATATTTTAGAGGCCAAACATCTTTTTATAGAACAAAATCTGAGACTGTTCTGCAGCCGTTGTCCTGGATTCTGTCTGATTTGACAAGGAATGACCCTGTAACTCAAACGCCATAAGCCGTGTAATGTGCTGAGTGACCTCTTGTTGTTGTGTAGGATGCCCGATCCTGACTTCAGTGTCAATGATGTCAAGATATTTGTTGGTAAGACTTCACACATCAACTTTAAGTTTTCCTGCTTTGATTAATTAGATGCTACTACATGTCTAAGGTTCAACTGTGTGTCCTGTCAAAATGTCCTTGAATCTTTATGAATAATTTAGTCTTTATTAAAAATTAAGGGGAAAAAAATTGACATGACTTCGTTTGTCAGACCAGCAGTCGATAAATCAAAAACTAGAGTTTACAATATGACTAAGTAAATCTTCATATTCAACAGTTGTAAACAGCTAATATTTTCTCTCGATAAATTACAAAAGGATTACTTGATCACCAAATTTGTCTTAACTACTCAATTAAGTTTTTTTTTTTTTTTTTTTTTTCTACCTAGAAGTGAAAGCAAGATCAATACAATCATGTATTTATTTAAAAAAAAAAAAAGGCTAATTAGACTAAACTACATGTAATTCCAGTGGCGTATTTTAATGAATTAGGACAATTCAAACAATGTTTTGATTGTCCATTTTATTTTACAAAATGTGTGTTTATTTAAATGGTTGTGACATGGACGGACTGACACAACTTCTGTCCTGACTGGATAAGATTTCTCTAACACGCTGTGACTAACCCCTGCCAAAAACCCCTATCAGGTAGTAGACGTATGATAGATGTGATGGACGTGAGCACTCAGAAGGGGACAGAGATGTCCATGGCCCAGTGGACACGCTACTCTGAGACCCCCCCGTCTCAGAGAGAGAAGCTCTATAATGTCATCAGCCTGGAGTTCAGCCACACCAAGCTGGAGAACCTGGTCAAGAGACCTGCCACAGTACGTCCACACACTCCACAACAAGCTCATGTTTGTGTGTTTTTACATTTTATACACAACCAATGCAAACACATTTTAGTATGTGCACCAACAAATCTGTCTCAGGTTTGAAAAAGTGTCTGTCTTCTCTCTTTTGGTGTGTGTGTGTGTGTGTGTGTGTGTGTAGGTGGATCTAATAGACTGGGTGGACAACATGTGGCCTCGTCACCTGAAAGAGAGACAAAGAGACTCAACAAACTCCATCAACGACATGCAGTACCCCAAAGTACAGAAGTAAGTCTCTGTGTTCAGGATGTGGTTGGAAAAAATGATTCATTGCTTCATCTAATTAATTTGATCTCCAAATAAATTATTGCTAATATTGTTGTGTCTGTGCAGATACTGTCTGATGAGTGTCGAGGGCTGCTACACAGACTTCCACATCGACTTCGGAGGGACCTCAGTGTGGTATCACATACTGAGAGGGAGCAAGGTGGGGGGGGGGGTTTAACTGAAAACATTTAAGACTTAAAGTGAACAGTGCAGAATGTGAGGGCATAAATGAGTTCTCTTTGTCATGATGTTGGCTGGTGCACAGAGCAGAGTGTGCTCATGAGTGCGGGTGTGCATTTCAGGTATTCTGGCTCATCCCTCCCACCCCTCAGAACCTGGAGCTATATGAGAACTGGGTGCTGTCGGGGAAACAGGGAGATGTTTTCCTGGGAGACCGAGCATCTGACTGCCAGAGGATTGAACTGAAGCAAGGCTGCACCTTCATCATACCCTCAGGTCTCACACTCACACACTCACACTCGCTCGCTCTCTCTCTCTATATATCTCTCTATATCTCTCTCTATATATGCTGAAGGATGTCATACATATATGTAAACAGCAGATACACTAGACCATACTCTTTATAACTAATATTTACAGAGAGCCAACATTAAATCTTTCTCCACTGTGTTCAGACTCAGATACTAAAACAGTTGTGTTGATGCTGAAAATGTGTGTAGACTAGGGCTGCAGCTTTTAGTAATTGAGTATTCATCGATTGATGGAGTAATTGCATTAGAAATACCTTTTGTCTCATTAAAGAGCAATAGAAAATATGAGAGAAAAGAAAACAGGAACTAATTGCTTTCCTGAAGAAAAATTCTGTACTTTTATCAAATATTTACTGCAGTCAAATAAACTGAATATTTTACTGCCCTATCTAATCACATCTGCTTCAACTCATGTATTAACAGAACTTCATATGGAGTAAACAAAGCTTTGATGCAAAGAATTTGCATTTTGATTTTTAATAATCAAGTTAATTGAGTTTCTCAAGGAATCGTTTCAGCCCACACAGAAAACTGATCAAGAATCAGACTGATAAGCAGATTGATATTGGTATTAATAAAATCTTATCAATTCCCTTCCATACTCAGGATGGATTCATGCCGTCTACACCCCTGTGGACTCCATGGTGTTTGGAGGGAACTTTCTGCACAGCTTCAACATCCCTATGCAACTGAACATCTGTAACATAGAGGACCGAACGCGGGTAGGTGCAGACACTGAAGCTGTGTGTGATGGGACTCTGTGATGTGATGGACTCTGAGATGGTTTTCCTTCACCTCCACCACAGGTCCCAGTGAAGTTTCGTTACCCCTTCTACTACGAGATGTGTTGGTATGTGTTGGAGCGTTATGTCTTCAGCCTGACCAAGACCTCCTACCTCACACCAGAGTTTCAGAAACACTCACTGGGCATCGGTATGAACTCGAGCATACACAGGGGCAGACGGAATGTTTTTGAGGGGGCTCATCTTGTTGTTGATAGACTGTGTAACTCGTTCCTTCTCTCAGGTCTAAAGAAGCCGTCCGGCTCAGAACTGGCCAGTGAGCAGGTGAAGGAGGAGGTGGATGGTGGCAGTGCCGATGAGGCTTCAGAGCAGCAGTCTGACGCAGTTCATCTGACTCCTCTGGAGCTGGAGGGGCTGTTGAACTTGCTGGGTAAACTGGAGGCACTGCCCTCCAACAAGAAGTGTGTCCCAGCAGGGATACACAATGCCCCGGCACTTATTACACACATCAAGGTATGGTGTGTGTGTGTGTGTGTGTGTGTGTGTGTGTGTGTTTTGCTGGTGTTGTAATAAAACATCTTTCTTGATATTTATTTCTGTCCTTTCCTCTGCTTTCTCTCTTGTATCTCGTGTCCTGCAGGCGCTATTGAAAGAGCACGCCAGTGACAACACTAAATTGTCCTACACAGGAAAACCCATCGTTAAGTGGCCAAAGAGGGTGAGCAGTCCTCACTTTTAGACATGCGGCACATTGGTCAGTCCTTCCAGGATTACACAGACTTTTTTTGGAATTTTTGCGGCTAAAATACCTGATTTCTACTCTTAAAGGTTGTGATGAAAGTTGCAATGTTTTTAGATGTTTGAGTGTGCCTTAGTGTCATCATATGAAGCTAATGTTCTAGAAACATATTCAGGGCTTAAAGTATACCGGCACTGTGCCGGATCTCCAATGTAACGCTGTGAGAGAAAAAATGAAAAGTCAATACTCTTGGATGCGGTTTATCATGTAATAAATTTCACCTACCAATGGTATGAGAGGAACGCAGCTCTCGCTGTCAACCTAACCATACACTGAACCTAACCAACTCTACTAGCCAATCAGAAGCAGAGCGGGGTGGGTCTTGGCAACACTGGCAGTGTTAGATCCAGGGGCCTGAAGGAGCCAGGCGCCTTGTTTCTACACGGTGTTCTTGAGGAAGCTACTATTTGCCACCAGTGTTTTTTTTTGTTTTTTTGTTTTTTTTTTTTAAACAACAAAAAAAAAAAAAAAAGTGCTCTCTTGTCATGAATTGGACCCCAGTCATGAAGCTGCTGTCAGCGCACACCAACATACAACTACGTTACCGGGAGCGACAATTCCAGTTGACACTCAGTCATCGATGACTGACTGTCTGTGATCAAAAAAATACATGTGCACACTCATTGCTGAACATGATCTGTCCTTCACAATTTCTTTGTTTACAACCCAAAAAGAATGGAGGGGGGGGGGGGGGGGGGGGGGGATAAGTGATTGTGGCCTTCTTGGTTTCCCTTTAAACTTCAGTTTGCCAGTTCTTTAAGCATTCAATGCTAATAAATATTTTTGGTACAAAAGTGTATTATTTTCCATTTATTTATTTCCCATTATCCCATAAACACTTAAACCTTGCTATAGTATTGCAGCATTGCATTGCATTTTTTTTTTCCAAATTATGAGTATCCAGAAGTTGCTTGCACTTTAGAGCTGTGAGTCTGGTTCTGCACAAGGTTTGAGACCCAAACAACCAAGATTACAGACAGATGTGTAGGCTGTCAGCTCTGGTGGTTCCAGCAATAATACACACCTGCCCACTGAAGGGAGAGTCTCACAGCTCCCACCTAAGTGTTATACATTAATACCCAGTGTTCATGACAGCTACTGTATGTTGTATGTATTTATTTATTTTTTACCTCCACTCTTGTTACTACTTAACTTCTCTGCTCCCCTCTGCCAGCCCTCATGGTACCAGCCTCCTCCTCCTCCACCTCCTCCTCCTCGCCCTAAACTGGCCTCCACGCCCATCATCCCCCGACCACAGAAACCAGCCTCCTCCATGTCTGTGCTGAGGCGGCGCAGGGTCAGGTAACAAGGCGTGTGTCTCAGTGTAGTTCAGCAAAGACCAGTAGTTTGCAGTCAATATTATGTCTTTTATAATTGGTGTAGGTGTGTGATTAACTGTCTTCAGTGATCATCCGTCTGCTGTTGTGCTTCCTGTCTCTGCAGGTGTAAACGCTGTGAAGCCTGTATGAGGCCAGAGTGTGGTGACTGTAACTTCTGCAGAGACATGAAGAAGTTCGGAGGACCAGGGAAGCTCAAGCAGACCTGTGTCCTCCGACAGTGTCTGTCTGTAAGTCATTTATTTACTGATTTATACAAGTTGCCACCGGAAGACACTGCAGTCAGTGGCATCAACTACAATAATAAGGATTATAATTTTTTTTTTTTTTTTAATTATTTCAGTTTTTTCTCTTGAATGCTTAATTTCATTAGAACAAATGTTTTTCTGCAGAATCAATGTAGTTGCTGCGTTGTGACATCAGTTTTTTTCATTGGTCCAGTCACCACTGCAGGTTTAGGTGGTGGCTGCAGTTCAGTGTAAACATTTAAAAGGCTTTGAAACAAGATTGTTTCAAATGATCACTAAACAAAAAGGTGGTTTGTACAAGTACTGATATGATAGGCAATATAGATCTGCAAAAAAAATCATTGTGATTACTTTGACAGATGTTGATGCTGCGACGTTTAGTGGGAGTTTCTGAATTTCTCTTTCACTGAAAAAAGTATAGAAATGATTGTTTGTTGGGTCTGTTCCCAAACATATGTTCCCTCACGTCCTCTGGTGATTTGGATATTTGACTGTCTAATCCTGAGGCCTGTACCACAAAGCAGGTTCAACATACCCAGGATAACTTTTAGTTATCTGGTTCAACTGAACCTAACATTGACCGCCCAGATCCTGTACCTTTATTATGAAGCTGGTTATCACCTTGTTCAGTTAACTCTGTGTTTACTTGTCCAGGTACGAGTGTGTTCATGTGAAAGAGGCAGAGTTGTAATTATAAGCAACATTGTCATGACCATGATTAAAGTATTAATATGATATGAGAAAAAACTTTGATACCTGTCCCCAAATTCTGTTATAGTGATGTTGTAAAGTGATATTCAACAAGGTGAAATGTAAACAACATGATCACATGACTAGAATAAAAAAGAAACACTAGAAATATTTTCTAATGACTAAAATCAGACTGAAGTTTCTTACTGAGTAGTTTTGTTCTTTTGTCTGATGATGAACAAACTGTTATGAACATGTGATAGGAGAGGAGAGAAGAAAAGTAGCTGATGTCTGATGATAGTCTGACTGAAATGTTCATTTCTAATCATGGAAACATTGAACAGTGTGTGAATCATTGTTTGTTTAGTTTTTTTATTTTATTTTTTTTCTCCATGTTCTGAGCTCAGTGATGAAGAAGAGAGTAAAAGCTTCATCACTGTCAGGAATCTTGTTGGTTTAAAGAATCTGTGTTCAGGTCAAATGAAGCTCTAATAGTTATTGTGTAATTATTTAGTGATAAACTCTCCTGTTTGTTAGAGGCTCTGTTTCAAAACCAGAGTAACGCATGGAAAGACTCAAACAGCAAAACCATTCACTGATTTATATAAATATCTACTGATCTTTATTATTGATCAGCAGGCCAGGAGAACAGAATCAGTTACCATGGTGATTTACCTTGGTAACAAGTGAAGTCTTGGGATTACACAAACACTGTCAAATACAGAAACACTTCCACAGCTCCAACAAAAAAGTCAGTGCTCTCCAATGGTAATATGTGTTGGTCATAATCGAACTGGCCCCCCACAAAAGAAAGCGATAGATGGGGAGGCCGGACTGTAATGTATCCTACTACGTCTCCACGGTTACTGCCCTGTTCAGCAAACCAAAGTTCCCATAGACACCAGATGTAAACCTGCAGCACACTGCAGAATACAGACAGATTTACATGGCACTGACTGAAATCTAATGGACATTCATTTATACGTAAAGATCCCACAATTAAGCTGTAAATGAAATTTTTTTTTTTTTTTTTTTTTCTTTGATGAAAATGAATCTCTTAATCCACCGACTATTTTACATATTTGATTAATTGATTAAAAAATATTTGTCAGCAGCTCTGGTTGAATAAGTGTGTTTTAGTAACGCTCTCTTCCCTCCAGCCGGGCCTCCCCCTGTCTGCAGTGTGTGAGATCTGCAAAGAGCCCAATCAGGAGGAAAGTGGAGACCCCTCCCTCACCCTGATGGAGTGTTCCAACTGTGCACAGATAGTCCATCCTGCCTGCCTCACGGTACAGCACGCACGCACGCACACTCCCTCATCAATCTACATTCAGTACTCTGAAATGACAAGGTGAAAGCAGAGTTCTGGAACTTTGTGGTGTCACAACAAAGCAGTCACCAATCAGAAGTCCCAACAGCTGGTTTTAAGGTTCAGTTTCTGAATACAGGCTCTGTCAATTTTTCTGTGGACTGAGCGCTTTGATACTTTCACAGTATTAATATAGAACTAATAATCATACAACACATGAACATCTACCTTTTTAGAATGTATGGAGCTTTAAGTGAAAGCTTGAAAGGAGCCAATAGTGCCATAAACAAGGTTCTGGTTAACTTTTTATTTCCTCTTCTTTTCTTCTTCTGTTTAATTTTTCTTGTTTGTCTGGCTCTGCAGGTTCAGGGTGAAGGAGTGGTGAATAAAGACCTGCCCAGCTGTTGGGAGTGCCCAAAGTGTGTCCAAGGAATCACTGACCCAGAGGTACACAATGTCTCGTTAAAAAAACACACACACACACACACACACACACACACACACACACACACTCACTCACTCACAGTGTCAGGGTTTCATACTTCCTGTATTTTTAACACACCAGTGCAGACAGTCTACCAGCGCGGCGTGCATACACACTCAGTTACAGTGTGTCTAATGGGTGTCGTGTATCTCCTGTGTGTTTGTTTCCATTATTTGATTTTTGTTTTTGTTTTGTTTTTTGGTTGCTTTAATTTTGATTTCCTTTAAATTTTATTTAACTTCGTCAGTCATCAGGCAGCGATGAATCGTTGGCTGCCAGCCACCAGCAGCACCTCCGTCCCCATGGGCCCCTTGTCCTCAGGCTGGGCCCTGGGCCCTCTGCTACCATAGGGGGTCCTGTGGGCTCCCAGCAGGATGGGGAAGTGGTTCGCTGTGGCTTCTTCCCTCCTCTTCCTTCCTGCTCCTCCTCCTCCTCAGCATCACTTCTATTGGTGGCGGCCCCTCTGCCTTCTCAGCCAATCAGCTCGAGACTGGTGAGAGGTGCCGCCTACTCTGCGTACATCCACTCGTCTGTCCTGTGCACTCCACCCCTTTTTTCTTTTCCATCGTTTTCAAGAGAAGAGACACAACTCTTGTAAATTCCACTGTCCATGTGATGGTGTTACTGATGGAGAACGACTTCCTGTTGGCGTAGTTCATACAGGAGCAGTGCCTCTTCTCTCACAGTCAGCCGTTTTCCCTTTCTCCATACTCTAAATGATTTTTCTCTTAGCTCATCATAGTGGACATTATGTAGTCGGACAAACCCACCCTGTTATTTTCTGACTGCATACAGTCCAGACTCTTAAGTATTTGAACTGTTCACTTTTTTTTTTTATTCTTTGTTCTCTGGTCTTTGGTCTCTCATTGTTCAGTGAACTGTCAAGTTGACAAAACCAGTTTGTGACATGGAGCATTATCCTGCTGGAAGGAGCCATTAGAAGATAGTGAACTGTGGCCATAAAGGATGAACATGGTCAGCAACAATACTTGGACTGAGACATTCATACAATGATTGATTGGAATTGAGAAGAAAACATTCTCCACACCATCACACCACCACCACCAGCCTAGACTGGTTGGTCCATGGATTCAGACTCGTGCCCGACCATCTGCTGCCTCAGCACAAATCCAGATCCATTAGACCAGGTCTTCAACTGTCGAGTGTTGGTTCGTTCTTGTCCACTGCAGCCTCAGGTTTCTTGTCTTGGTGACAGGAAGTGGAGCCTTATGTGGTCTTCTGCTGTTGTAGGTTGGACTTGTTGTTCACTCTGAAGCTTCTGTGCTCAGCACAGTTGTAAAGAGTGGTTATCTGAGTGACCGTAGTCTTTCTGTCAGCTCCAACCAGCCTGTCCATTCTCCTTTGACCTCTGATCAACACAGAGCTTCTGCTCTCTGGATTCTTTTGTTGTTGCTCCATTTGAAGTAAAGATGTGAGTGAAAATCAGATCAGCAACTTCAGAAACTCAGACCAGTGTCTGACACCAACAATCATGAAGCTCAAAGTCACTGAGTAACATTTGTTCTCATTCTAATGTTTGATAACATGAACTGAAACTCCTCACTTGGATCTGCTGCCACATGATTGGCTGATTGGATAACTGCATGAATAAGCAGATGTACAGGTGTTCCTAATTAAGTGCTCACTGAGTGTCGATGTTAGACTTTATAGTCAGTCCATAAAATCTAAGATGGACCCTCCAACTGTTGTACAGCTGTACAACTTTCCTAAAACTTTAAAAAAAAAAAAAAAAAAAAAAAAAAAAAAAGACTTAATCATGTGCAGATGTTGTATTTTTGGAAATAAAATGGTATCTTATTCAGGGCACTTGAATAGTAAACGTTTCTCGACATGACTATTTCTGGAAGGTTGATGTTGAAACAGTGTAAATCAGATGTAATGACTTGGACCACAGCCACAGGAAGTGAAGTGATGTTATATACAGGTGCATCTCAATAAATTAGAATATCATGGAAAAGTTCATTTATTTCAGTAATTCAATTCAAAAAGTGAAACTCGTATATTATATAGATTCATAACACAGAGTGAAATATTTCAAGCGTTTATTTCTTTTAATTTTGATGATTATGGCTTACAGCTAATGAAAACCCAAAATTCAGTATCTCAGAAAATTAGATTACATAAAACCAATTTAAAAAAAAAAAAAAATATGTTGGCCTACTGAAAAGTATGTTCATGTATATGCACTCAATACTTGGTCAGACCCAAAATTCAGTATCTCAGAAAATTAGAATATTGTGAAAAAGTTCAATATTGTAGACTCACGGTGTCACAGTCTAATCAGCTAATTAACTCAAAACACCTGCAAAGGTTTCCTGAGCCTTTAAATGGTCTCTGTCTGGTTCAGTAGGCTTCACAATCATGGGGAACAATGCTGACTTGAAAGTTGTCCAGGAGACCATCATTGACACCCTCCACAAGGAGGGTAAGCCACAAAAGGTCATTGCTAAAGAAGCTGGCTGTTCAGAGTGCTGTGTCCAAGCATATTCTTAGAAAGTTGAGTGGAAGGAAAAAGTGTGGTAGAAAAAGGTGCACAAGCAACAGGGATAACCGCAGCCTTGAAGATTGTGAAGCAAAGGCTGTTCAAGAATTTGGGGGAGATTCACAAGGAGTTGACTGAGGCTGGAGTCAGTGCATCAAGAGCCACCACGCACAGACGTATCAAGGTACGGTTTTATATAATCTAATTTTCTGAGATACCGAATTTTGGGTTTTCATTAGCTGTAAGCCATAATCATCAAAATGAAAAGAAATAAAGGCTTGAATGATTTCACTCTGTGTCATGAATCTATATAATATGAGTTTAACTTTTTGAATTGAATTACTGAAATAAATGAACTTTTCCATGATATTCTAATTTATTGAGATGCAGCTGTACTTGTGCAGTGGTTTGGTCCATGGTATGAGCGTGATGATGTACTCTGCATTCTTCATGTTTTTTCTCTATACAACCATTATTCTTATTCTGAAAAGGTTCTGACCAAAGTTCAAAAGATTCTGTTTCTCCCTTGACAGACCTCTCAAACAGCCAGAAACGGAGATGTAATGTTTTTATGTTATTATAAAAAAAAAAAAAAATAACACAAGTTCAGTTAATCATTCAAACTTATGTGTACTGACACATTTGAACAGTAACGAGGTAAATCCCAGTTGCATTTTTGTCAATATCTTAAATTAGCCTTTGATTATGTTCTAGCCACCATCTAATGGATTAGAAAAAAATTGACCCAGGGTCAAACTTACTTTCCGACCCCTGCCCTAAACTCTGAGTCACAACAATAAGGGCTCTACTATAATAAATCGAAACCTGTGTGGTGTTCCATGATTTACTGTAGGAGCAAGGAAAATATTGGCAAAACATGTTTTTTGACTTGCTGTCAGTTTCTGAAGTCACTTCTGATATTTTGCTTTCTCTTCCTCCAGCAGTTGAAAAGTGACAGAGGTGATGGCCATCCAGTGGTGAGTGTGTTTTTGTTTTGTTTTTGTTTTGTTTTGTTTTGTTTTGTTTTTTTAAGATGTTGATTATTTCTAACTGCACTTTAAACTGAAGGTCTCTAACAATTTCCTTTTTGTGTCATACTGTCTGCATTTTCTGTCTCCTTCCTTTTTTATTTATTTTTTTTAATTCTTCTTTCTATCCTTACTTCCATTTTCCCTCGTCCCATCAACTGCAGAAACGCAAATCTTCCTCCCTCCTGGACGCTCGTATGGCAAAGATTTATCGACGGCAGAGACACAGCCGTGATGGAGATGACTCTGCCAGTGATGACGATGATGAAGGTTTCTATTAAATAGTTAATCTGAAGCAACTTTTCACTGTTACTGCCTGACAGTGACAGTTGGTCTGTTAATTAATCAGAAACAAAATAAAAGTAAAATACACCTTGAACTTCAGTGTGTCATTCAGATCTTTGCTGTAACCTGATCGTCTGTTTTGTCCATCTCTCCGTCTCTGCAGCCTCTCAAAGAAGAAAGATGGTTCTCCATGCTCGAGGGGGGAGCCACTCAGCCAGGAGGGGGTTTGGTGCCAACAGGAGGGGTCTGTTGAGAGGAGGCTCAGCCCAGAGAGGAAGCAGAGGAGGGCTCATGACTCCCGGCTCCTCCTCCATCCTCAAGCTAAAGCGAGGGATGGGCATGAGGGAGAATGGACGGAGGGGAAGGGGGGTGAGGCTGCGGGGAGGCTCCAGGATGCAGCGAAGAGGAGACGAGTCAGAGGACTCTGATGATGACGACGATGATGATGAAGAAGAAGAAGAAGAGGAGGATGAAGAGGACAGCGAAGATGAAGACAAAGAGCGACGCCATCGTCAGCGTAGGAGGAGACGCAGGACTGACGACGATGAAGATGAAGATGAGGACAGTGAGGGGCAGGAGTTTGACCCTGAAGAGGAGGAGATGGACACACTGGAAGATGAAGAGGAGGAAGAGGATGAGGAGGTGGAAGAGGAAGGGCGCTGGGATTCAGACCCAGAACCCCCGGTCCTCCTGGTTTCTGATCTGAACGATGACCTGCTGAGCGGCTCCTACCTGACTGTCACTCTACAGCGCCCCCACAAGGCCAAGAGGCAATCTGGTAAGACCCGAAAACCCCAGCAGCTACAGTGTTATCCCTTCAATGTGGTCAAACAGAAACACTGAAGTAGAGTTTGTATTCATGTTCCATAACTGAACAGAAGAGTCGAAGTGAACGAGTTAAACAAATATGTTGTTGCTGCTGCTCAGGATCCATAGTTCCAAAGCTGGAAGCAGCCATGGGTCCGAGTTCAGCTGCAGTGGCTGCTGGTGGTCAGCAGGGCTTCATCCAGAGGAAGACGGCGCTGTCCAAACCTTCACGTCTCAAGAGCGCCGACACCACAGCCGACAGCGTTACCCCGAGAGGCCCTGGCAGGTACAACCCTAACCATAACCTGCTGATGCTAGACTGAAACCAGATCACACTAGACTGAAACCAGCTGATACTAGACTGAAAGCACCTGACACTAGGCTGAAACCTATGTCCTCAGTTTCCCATATTGACCAAACACAGTCACCAGGTTTTCATCTAGTCTTGTTTTAACCTCTGTCAAAGCTCCTCTGTCTATGAACAGAAGCATTTCTCTCGCTCTTTGTATTCCTTCAAACTATTCTCTCTCTCCTTTCCTCTCCGGGCCACACCCCTAAACCTGTGCTCCTGGCTGCAACAGGTGACCTGGAACAGGAGGCTACACATGGCAACAAAATAAAAGAATGGGGTGACAGTGATAAAGTGTAATCAGAGGTTTAACCTTGCACACACCTGATGCAGACTTTCTAAGACCAGTATTTGGCTCAATAGAAACTGTACTGAACACATGTACTGTAAGACCTCTATTGTATTTACAGTTGGCTAATGATATATCCACATCCAAACCCCATCAGATGTTTTGTTGGTTATCTTGTAGGCCGCGTCTGCGCGGTAACCATGGCGACAGAGGCACTAGAGATCGCTCTGTGTCTTCTTCAGAGGAACAGGAAGCTGCTCCTCCTCTGGCTCCCTCCTCCCTGTCTCCTCCCTCCCTGCTGTCTCTGCCGTCCTTTAAGGACGTGGGTAATGAGAGAGGAGGGGAGAAGGAGGTGTGGGTGTCTGTGTTCAGATACCTGAGCAGAGCTGAGCTACTGGCCTGTATGACTGTCTGTAAGGCCTGGTACAAGTGGTACGTCACACACTCCACAAACAAAACACACACAATATGTGTCTTTTGATCTGAACTTGTACTCACCTGGTGGACGCAGCTTGTGAAGAAACCAGTCCTATCTTACTGTCCTACGCAGGAGCTGCGACAAGCGTCTGTGGAGCCACGTGGATGTGAGTCGGTGCAGCCCGCTCAGTAACCAGGCCCTGGCAAGCATCATCAAACGCCAGCCCATGTCTCTGGACCTGTCCTGGACCCCTCTGGCCAAGAGACAGCTCAACTGTCTGCTCACCAGGCTCCCAGGTACAAAGACACTAACAGGCATACAAATCTTGCTGTCTCTACATGTCTCCTTACCTCATCTGCCTGTGTCTCTTCAGGTCTGAGGGAGTTGAGGGTGACTGGTCTGTCCTGGTCCTGTCTGTCAGCGCTGGTCTCTCCAAGTCTACCCTACCTGCGGTTGCTGGACCTGCGCTGGTGTGAAGGCCTTAAAGACACCCAAATTAAAGAGCTCATCACACCGCCTGGTGAGTAGCAGCAGAAAAAAGCAGGCTCAGAGCTCAGTCACTTTATGTGTAGGGCTCTATGATGGCACACTCAGGTCATTTCCTTTCCTGCAGCAGAGGGTTTGATGATGGCGCAACGTTTGTCCCAAGATGGTCTTGTGACTTAGGCCAAAAGCTCAGCTCCTCCGTGCATCAGTTGCATAATATTTTGTAAAAGTTGACTATGTGGGTGATTCTAGTTAAAATAATTTTTCTATTCCATTACCATTTGAAATAGTCATTTAAAAATGTGCTCCTTTGGCTCTAATGCCACCACCTCCTCTCCACTCTGTGGTCTTTTATTAGGAACACCTAGCTAAAACTGATGTAGTGTAATAAAACAGTCCTGTAATAAATCCTCCTCTGAAGGTTATAATGTCCAGATTTGTTTAGAAACCTGTGTGATCATCATGGTGTGTATGGAGCTGTTTAACAGTGTTTCTGTTATTAAACCGACCTTCACTGATTATAAATGGTGTAGACAAAATATTAGGAACACCATCTACATACAGTCTTGTTGAACCACAGAAACCTCCCAGCTCGCTGACATTACACCTGTCAGGTTGATCATTACACGTTGGAGAATGACGTGTTCAAAACAGTTAAATAGAAAATCATTGATCAATGCAAACTCTCTCTGATAATAACTTCCTCATGAAATTCACTGCTTGTCAGCACCTGTTTTTATGTAGCATTTACCTGGAGTCAAGAATGAACTGTATAGATTTTGGTGGTCAAAGGTCAAGGACAGTGTGACCTCAGAAAAAACTTTTTAGCCAATACTCAAGACTTCACAGCAATTATGACAAAATGTCACACAAATGATGATTATTTTGTCTGACTCTGGATAAACGGGATGTGACCTGGAACTAGTCTGAGTGGAGGAGGCAAACAACTGTGAGGCAGTAACTCTAGCTACATGTGAAACAATCAAATCTGAAAATTCAGAATTTTTAATTTTAAATATTATAGAAACTATTTCAGAATAATACAAATACAACATTTTAAACTGTCTTAGTTTTACTTATAGAAGGACAGATTCTCCCCTTCTTTCTCTCTCCATCCCCTGGGGGACAATAAGGTTATGGCATCATGGTTATTATGGCAGTACAGTGGTGTGTAACAGGTGATGGTAACTGCATGGTTCATTGTGATGACATAAAATTATACAGTATTGATGCATGGTGACTAGGGATGGTACTGAAACCTGGTGTTAAACGGCCATGAGGCTAAGTTTTTAGAGCCTGGAGTATCAATAAGCTCTGATGTTATTGGTTCTGCTCTCAGTACTTGAAAAATTAAGAAAATAGATTTCCTGATTTTTATTGCAACATAAAAGTTTTCCCACACATTTTCTCTCACCAACTCTGTTTATGATTAAGACATTCATCTATGAATGATGTATGGAGTGCATATGAGAAAATAAGCAATGTTAGTTCCGTTCTTAATTGTTTTTTTTTTCTTACAAAATGACAAAAAAGTACAGATAAGAAAACCGTTAAAGTACCGGATCAATAGGTGGTATCAATAAAAGTAGTAGTGCCATTATAATCTTAATGATGCCCATCCCTAATGGTGACTGTGGCATCTTCACCATGTCCAGACTGTGACTTCGTCCTCAGGCTGTGCAGTACAGCTGATCTATCTCAGGCTGCAGCAGGTTTCCTCTGAGTCTTGACACACAGACCATATTCTCACAGTCCTGGGTTTAAAGATGACGGTAATAAATGTGATCATCAAAGTGTGCCACAGGTGTACCAGCTGTGACCGTCTCCCCCCTCTGCCTGTTCTGTAGGTTCAGAGTTTTCCCGCAGCAGACTCAGGAACATGGTGACGCTGCGTCTGTCAGGCCTGGACATCAGCGAGTCCACTCTGAGGCTGCTGCAGCGCCACATGCCTCAGCTGGAGAGGCTGGACCTGGCACACTGCAAGGACATAACAGACTCGTCCATTGCTCTGTTGGCAGTGGCCGGAACTCACACCCGCAACAACCTCACCGAGCTGACGCTGGCAGGTGGGTGTTTGAGCTCAGTCACACTCCCATTGATTGGTCACGTATGTGGACAAGGCTCACATCATGAAATTAGATGATGTAACATGTTGCAAAATTGAAATGTCTGAATACAACACTGTCAGTCACTCAAATTTTAAAAAAAAAAAAAAAAAAAAAAAAAAAAAGGATCACTGTTCATTGGAACAGGATGAAACTGTTTATGCTTAATGCTCCTGTCAGGGTCAGGTGTTGTTTCACCACATCGTCCACTTGGAATTGTAATTTTTCTATCTGACATTTTTGTCAAAATTGAGTCATTCACATATTTTTGACAACTTATTAACATTATATGAGGTGGGGTTTTTTTTGTTGTTTTTTTTTTTTTTTTGTTGTTGTTTTTTTTTATGGATTTTTGAACTTCTTATTGAGAAAACAAATGTTCTATCTCCAAACTTGAACTCTAACTGGGGTTTATCAGGTTCTATATCTGAGCAATTCAGCACTGAGAATACACACAAGATGGCCAATCAGCTTATACCTCTGTCAGGTCGCCTCACTGTCACAGAAAAGACAGAAAACGGAGTGGAGATGAGAGAATGTCCTGTAACACGAGGTTTGTAAGAATAAGGACAGCAGTATAAATGCAGGGCAAGTTCATCTTTTTTCAGTTGTTAGATCTTGCTGAGGAGTTTATTTTCACTGTTAGGACACTAGCATTCTAACCACCTAATGCCTTAAAGGGAATGAAAAAGTCTATATTTTAATTGACGGGGTCTTCATTGCACGATAAACACTAATTTCATTAATCCATCTTTTTTTTCCCCCCCCCACAATAAGACAGATCATCAGAGTCAATATTTCTGATATAAAACTAGACCTAATGCTGCCTTTACACTGACCAGATCACACAGACACTAGACCTCAGGTTTTATTTTGGCCCTCGTCACCTCCATTAGTCCGAGCTGATAGAAGCTGCCACCAGCAGCATTTGTCGTGTAATAGGTGAAAGTGACAGTCCAGAGCTGAGATGCAGCGCTGCAGGCTGAGGTGGATAGAAGGCAGCAGCATCAATGAATCTACTGACTTCAGCTAACAGACAAAATGTGTTGATGTAAACAGAAAATCAGTCTTAAAAAAGTCATGCATCAGTGTTTGTCAAAGTAAATGACTGATGTCTATCTGTCTCTGTCAAATTCAAAATAGCTTTATTAGCATGAAGAAAAACATGTTATTGCCACAGCAGTTTACAAATTATGAAAATATACATATAATACAATAATTATTAAACCTGTCAAACTGATATGGATTTAGATTTTAGAAAATACAACATTTATATACATTTATATTATATACATTTTATATACAGTAATTTAATATCATTCTTGTGTGTTTATGGGGATGTTATTGTGATTCTCTCAGGCTGTGGCAGGCAGAAACATATTTAGCTACCAGAGGAGCTGCTGCTCCTTAATATTTGGAAGTTTTGAAGAGTGGGGGTCTCTCACTGCAGAGAATTTGTCACAGTGGAGGAGGAAGTGCATCTTTGTGTCTACCTCCCCTGTCGAACAGTGACTACACATGCTCCTCTCTGGTAGTTTCTAAACTGTTCAACATGTCTAAGAAGTGTGTGTATTCTTTATCTAAGGTGTCCCTGTACCTCTTGTCTGGAGTAACCTGTCACACAGATTGTGAAGCATCTCTTTGATTACCCCTAGTACAGACATAGGTGTAGTGGGGAGAAATGTTCATCATAGATGCGTAGGTCATGTGTTGGTGATGATGGGCAGGTCTTCTGTGGCTGGCTGGGGCCGAAGGATGGGATATAGGATGGTGGTGAAGTGCTGCAGGGGGGGCATGGGGCTGCTGGACGGCGTGGCGCCATAGGGAGGGGGGAGGTAGATTTCCTCCGGCTTGCTTGTTGGTGTCTGGATGGTCTGTAGATCCGGGGAGTAGCAGCTGTGTGGACGGGGCTGTCCTTCAATTTTTGGCGAATGTTCTTACCCCAGCTTTGTTCAGTTGTAGCCCATCATAGATATCCTATCTCCCAATGTTGGTGTGGTGGGCCAGGTGGATGTTTAGGAAGGTTGAACAGTTCCTTGAGAATGGTAGAAATAATCACCCTGGGAACACTCTGGAGGCCCATTCAGCCACCTTGGCAATGGCCTCAGCAGTGCCACGGTGAAGTGTGTGGAGGTCAATGGTGCCTCTACGCACCACAATGTACTGGCTTCCCAGTGTGTCCTGTTAAAGCAGCTCCATGGTGTGGCCTGTGTTCCAGGAGCGTTTGGCCATGGTGTTGAGGCCAGGGGAAGAGACATTTGGTGTCCAAGAATTTTCCGTTGGAGTCCATGAGCAGGACCACCTGGGCTACTGGCTTGGCTGGGGGTTGGGTAGTAGGGAGGGAGTCTTTGTCAGGGGGGAGTTTCTGGGTGTCAGAGCTGGAGAAATGGGTAAAAGCTGTGGAAAAGGGGAGTTGCCAGTGTTGGAGGGAGCTGGTGGTTTGGCAGCAGGGGAGAGGGAAGGTGTTGGGTAAGTGACGTGTATTTGTGTGTCATTGGGTGGAGATACATGACAACTGTTCTACTGGAGGTGCTCCCTGCTGAAGCTCAAGTCTTGGCTCAGTGCATCCTCCTTTATTTCAGGGTGTGAGCTCGTAGGGTGGTATTTTCCTCCTCCAGCTCACGTACACCCTGTGACAGCTGTCCGAGTCTCCTCTGGGTCTCCGTCAGCTCTATGGTTGATCCTACTCAGGTCTGCTATGACCTCCTGGCTGTCTTGCTTTAGCTGTTGGAGCTCATGTCTTAGCTGTTGGGTAGTATCAGACTCAGCTAGCTTGGCCAAAGTGAGCTCTCTGAACTCAGTGAACTCCAGCTCCAGGAGGGAGAGGCTCTCTCTTAGTTGTTGGAGGAGTTAGGGGGGTGTTGGGAGTGGGGCCAGACTGATTGGTTGTTAGTTTCAGGTCTGCGTCTGTGACTTCTGTTATCCTCCTCCTTCCTGCTCTGAGGCTGTGTCCTGTTACAGTGCTGGTGCTTGGTCAGCCTCTCTCAGCTTCTGTTTTCATCCTGGTGAAGATTTCCTCAAAAGAGTTGAGGCTTGCTTCATTTCCCTGGACTAGCATTGTACCTTTTTTATTGTAGTAGGTAAAAGTGAGCAGAGGGTTGTCTGTCAAGGGTTTCATCCTGACACACAGTTAAGTGGCCACCAGGACCATTGCCTTCTTTAGCAATGTGTGTGTAGTTTCTACAAATGACCTGCTTCCATATGTTGTTGATGTCTGTATGAAAGAGGATGTTATGATCTTTTTTGCATATGATGCAGTCAGCAAACAGCTGTTCTGCATGCAATGGCCAAGGGTGTTACCTCTGTTTTTTCTTGGCGTTAGCACTGTTACAGTTAGCGGGGTATTCTACCTCTCTGCTGTAACTGCTGTCCTCCAACTGATTTCAACTTTCAGAATCACAGTTAGCTATTTTTTTTTTTTTTTTTTCAGTTAGCTATTTTTTTATATTTTAGTAAATAAATCTTTTAAAAGTAGATGTGTTTGACTTCCTTCAGTGTTGTAGATGAAGATATCTTTTGTTGCTTTTTTTCTTCCTTTTTCAATCTTTGTAACTTTGTTGCTTTTCATTGATCAACATTTCGGAGGGCACCATTCAGGAAACCTAAAATGTGTCATTTTTTCATCCAAAAGTTAATTTGGATGGACATTTCAGAACTAATTTCTGTCTGTGACCCCCCCCCCCCCCCCAGGCTGCAGTGAACTGACTGATGGCTGTCTGTCCTACTTGAAGCGCCTCTCCTCGCTCACTCTGCTTGACCTCAGAGGCTGTAAGAGCGTCAGCAGACGAGCCTGTGACGCCTTCATCTCCGACCTGTCCCACGTCGCCCTCTACTGCATGATGGAGGAGAAGCTCATCCAGCGCCTGGATTGAAAACAAACACTTTCACATTGTTGGCTACAGGAGAGATTTATTTTTTTTATCCTCTCAACTTTTTGTCTGTCTTGTCCTTCATGACGTGAGGAGTGCTGTCCCTGCAGTCAGCTGACAGGAACAGGAACATGAGCAGGTTTAACCTGTAAATAAACAGCTCTCTGTTGTTGGAAGCTGATGGAGACTCTCAGCTTCTCCCACCCTTTTTCCAAATGTCACAACACTCCTTTAGAAGGTCTTGAATCACTGACTCCAATGCTTTCTGTGACTCATCAAACGTTCACATATTTCAGGAATCCTGATGTTTGTCCCTCCCTCTCTACAGACTGACACAGGGTGGACATGGCTTCAACCAATGTCTGTTTACGAAACTGAACTCAACCAAAATGTCAGTTTATTATATTTTTTCTGTACAGTGAATTTCATGTAAATGTGTGACTGGTGTTGTTCTCACCTTGTCATCTTGGCCTAATGTGCCCTCTCATCCGCTACATTAAAAATCAATCAGGTGTTCGACATTGTACTTGAACATTTTTTGTAATGGTGTGAAAAAGTAATAAAATGTCAGTTGCTTAATTTTCTATTTGCAGCATTTGTTGCAGCATTACACACAAATGAACAAATGAACACAGTGCGGCTGTTGAAGAATCTCGAGCTCCATAGTCAATTCTGTGAGACCAGATGGGTGGAGAGATTCACCTGGCAGACCACAGGACTGGATTTGTTCTCCAGAGACCCCTAAAAAGTTCAATATTGTAGACTCAGTGTCACAGTCTAATCAGCTAATTAACTCAAAACACCTGCAAAGGTTTCCTGAGCCTTTAAATGGTCTCTGTCTGGTTCAGTAGACTACACAATCATGGGGAACACTGCTGACTGGACAGTTGTCCAGGAGACAGTCATTGACACCCTCCACAAGGAGGGTAGCACAAAAAAGGTCATTGCTAAAGAAGCTGGCTGTTCAGAGTGCTGTATCCAAGCATATTCATAGAAAGTTGAGTGAAAGGAAAAAGTGTGGTAGAAAACGGTGCACAAGCAACAGGGATAACCGCAGCCTTGAAGATTGTGAAGCAAAGGCTGTTCAAGAATTTGAGGGAGATTCACATGGAGTGGGGAGTTGGGGAGCCATGTCATCTGCTGGTGTTGGTCCACTGTGTTTTATCAAGTCCAAAGTCAACGCAGCTGTCTACCAGGAAATTTTTAGAGCACTTCATGTTTCCTTCTGCTGACAAGCTTTATGGAGATGCTGATTTCATTTTCCAGCAGGACTTGGCACCTGCCCGCATTGCCAAAAGTACCAATACCTAGTTTAATGACCATGGTATCACTGTGCTTGATTGGCCAGCAAACTCGCCTGACCTGAACCCCATAGAGAATCTATGGGGTATTGTCAAGAGGAAAATGAGAGACACCAGACCCAACAATGCAGACGAGCTGAAAGCCACTATCAAAGACACCTGGGCTTCCATAACACCTCAGCAGTGCCACAGGCTGATCGCCTCCATGCCAAGCCGCATTGATGTAGTAATTCATACAAAAAGGAGCCCCGACCAAGTATTGAGTGCATATACATGAACATACCTTTCAGTAGGCCAACATTTCTGTATTAAAAATCCTTTTTTTTATTGGTCTTATGTAATATTCTGATTTTCTGAGATACTGAATTTTGGGTTTACATTAGCTGTAAGCCATAATCATCAAAATTAAAAGAAATAAAGACTTGAAATATTTGACTCTGTGTGTCATGAATCTATATAATATGAGTTTCACTTTTTGAATTGAATTACTGAAATAAATGAACTTTTCCATGATATTCTAATTTATTGAGATGCACCTGTATATCAAACAAACCATGTGGATGGACACATCGAGTGAGGAAGCCACCTGGTCATCTCCAAGAGGACCACACACAGAAACTGCTTTATAAAGGCAAGACATGGCACAGTTGGAAATCATGCTTGTAGAACTCAGACTGGAACAATATAAACAATTTTGAAGCAGATGAGTTTGATGAGCAGAGCGGTGATGAACTTTATAGAGGATGTATTGTGCAGAACAAGCCTTTTTATCAGGAGGAATACACTCCTGACAGACCACAATCAGTGTGTACATGTCACAGAATGTGGTATATCAGAGTCGTAGTCCTCATGCTGCAGACCACTTTTTCAGCGGATGGTAGAGGAGCGCCATTTTGCCACTAATCGACCTGTACTTGGTGCCAGCAATGGCAGGTGAGACTTTTTCGTTTCAAGTGCTAATTTGAAGACTGTTAAATGAATTGGTTGTTGAGGTTGTGTCACAAACATGTCTGATACCTCTGCAGGGTAAAGTTAGGTTCATGCTACAAAAGCAGGGGCGTAGGTTTGCATGTGGACATGTTAGCGCTTAGTTTGGAGTGAAGTCATTAGATCATTCTCATGTGCCCTCCCAGAGGCTACGCCTTCCAGAGACAACTGATGTAGGCATCACTCATGATGCCCCGAAAATCATTGTATGTAATAATTCTGACAAAATCTCCAGGTCGCTTTAAAAGCGTCACAGCAGCAGTCCTTGCAGCTTGGATTGGTTGTGCACATATATGTAACACTTTTAAATGATGACAATGCTCATCCAGGTGCCACATATTGTTCTGCAAACACAACAGAAAGACAGAGTTAGACATGTATCGGCTTCCTTCGCTGCTGTCTTGGATGTCTCATATTATGACTGAGCTCAGTTCTTAACCAATAATACAGCTTCCGACAACTCAACAGCAAAGCAACTACACTTGGAAAAGTAAATGATAGTGTCTCTGGCCTCAAACAACATAAAATGTACAGCTAACTTAGCAACAAAATTTTACTAATGTTAGCACAAGAACATAACATATTAAGACATTATTTCACTAACGTTACCATAACGCCACACTCCTAGCCTGTTCAAACTGAATTAGCTGGATTAACTGTTAAAGCTAGCAACAGTTAGGTGCCTCATTTTATCACATTCAACAACTTTATACCTACAAAACCAACAATGTGGATAAACTTAATATAAATGTATATGGCGCTTGCATGCTTCCTGCTTACCCAGGAGTAGAGAAGTGCCTGTCACCAGCCAAACAAATCCACTACTGACACCCACTGGCTTGAATGAGTATTGCTCTGTGGGTACTTGCAGGGTGAATAAGGTGAGTTTTTCTGTTCAGAAGTGACACAAAGTATTTTAAATGATATACACCAGATAAAGATGGGGGGGACCACAGTAATAAACTATTTCAGTAATAATTCTAAACATATATCTGTTTGTTGAGGGTGCCACATATACTGCTGAGAGAAGCTGCTGTACTCCTGTAACAAAACTGTCTCAAACTGACAGCAGATCCCACGCAGAGATGATAAATCAGTGTAATCTGCTCGTTTATGTGCTGCTGCCTCTTCACGCTTCATTTATTCAGTTTCCACACACATCTGCTCCTGCATGCAATATTATAAATGATTTTAACACACACATACATACATTTTGCTCTCATGCACATGCAGTCAATGTATACATTTAATATTATAAATAATATATGTATGTAAAAGGAAAAGTATGTATGTTGAAAGAAAATATGAGTGTGTGTGTATTTGAACAACATGGCGGCGTCTACCAGCAGTACGACGGAGCGTGTGGAGCAACACGCAGCAAAAAAGGCTCGCACACGGTCCTCCAAAGTTTGGGAATACTTTAATCTTGACACCAACAGTGCGGTAGTCTGCAGACTCTGCAAAGTGCATCTGGCATATCACTCTAGCACGACAGTCATGCACAAGCACATAAAGAGGAAACACCCTGGTGCAGCGAAATTACTGTTAGGTTAATAAAAAAGATAATCGTTAGATTAGTCGAATAATCTAAAAAATAATCGCTTGATTAATCGTTTAAAGAATAATCGTTTGGGACAGCCCTACTTCAGAGGCCACTGCAAATTGCGGCAGTACATGCCCAGCAAGCCAGCGAAGTACGGGCTGAAAATCTGGGTCCCTGGTAGTCACATGGCTCCATAATATAACAGGTAAAAATACAAGAATTTCATGCATCGGCCTAAGACACATGAAACACATCCCTCAAAAGTCGCCCTTTTTTCACCCCTGAAATGATCAGTGCGTGCTTACAGATTCGCACACACCATTCAAACACACACACACACAAACACACACACACACACACACGAAACTCTTGGGGCCCCCTGGTAGTCACATGGCTCCATAATATAACAAGTAAAAATGCAAGAATTTCATGTATTGGCCTACAATGGGAAAATGGTTGAATCTGGTGCAATACAGTAAAAATGTCAAATATCACTACTTTTCTTCAAAATGAAACGCTGACATTACAGAATGCATGGTTTTATACTGTAATGGCAGTGAGATTAAAAAATGTGGTTTTAATGGAAGTCAATGAGGCATTTTTGGCCACGAAGGTGTCCAGAGAGAGTATCTCGCACTACATAAAAAAAACACTAATGCAATCAAATCAATTTTGTTGCTAATCTTTGACATATCCAAGACTCTAATCACCACCAAAGCCTCATCCCCCTACTATTTATTATATGGAAAATAATTAGTTTGTGTTTTTTTGTAATAAATAATCAAATAATTAAACTGGCATTTAAAGGGTTAAAATCCTGAAAATGATTGAATGTTTGGTAGTTTTGAGCAAGTTTGAAGTTGTTTAGGTGATTTACGAAAAAAAAGTTAAAAAAAATATTGATGTATGATGATTTAAAAGCAGTTTTTTGTGCGTGTACATTTTTGGCCACGAAGGTGTCCAGAGGATAGTAAATTTGAGGAGGGCATAAGGGTTAATACAGTATCATGAAGTTCATAAAAATGGGTGGAGGGCTTCAGCTGGACAAGACGACAAAAGGCTTGCTCTAAACACACATTACCCACACTACACACAGGTCTAGTCTTGCTAGCTTTTGAGGCACACCTTTGAACACAGCACGCTATACTGACAAACCACCCCCACACGGCTAAGCTTTAGCATAAGGCAATACTTGACATGCTGACACCCTCCGCTAGGAGGCACTGCAGGTAAGACACACTGCCCCGCCCACGACTCGTCACTTCCCCTTTAATCAGCCCTCCCACTCCACACTATTAAAACTACAAAAATGGCCGACCACACAATACATATACATAGTGTTGTTTTTGACGGCCTGTTTTAATTTTAGTTTTAGTCTAGTCTTTGTGTCAAGCTGTCATTTTAGTTTATTAGTTTTAGTCATGTTCATAATCTTTTTAGTCTAGTCAAGTTTTAGTCGACTAAAAGTCTGAGCATTTTAGTCTTATTTTTGTCAGAATCATCCATGACTATTTTAGTCTAGTTTTAGTCAATGAAAATTTTATTTTAGTCTCTTTCTAGTAATGCAATTCTATTTAACCCAGTATAGTATAAGTACCTAGTAGTATAGACAAAACCAAAATTCTCTTTTAGCCAAACCCATTTCACAGTTTAAACAAGGTTATATCTTATTATTATACTATTTTTACCTTATAGACTCAAGAATACATCCATTCCAGACACAGAAGACGCTCTGATTTGAATTTACA